GTGTGTGTGTGTGTGTGTGTGTGTGTGTGTGTGTGTGTGTGTGTGTGCGTGTGTGTGTGCTCCCAGGTAGATAATGCGCACCACATTGTTAACTTGAGGAGAAGCTTCTGCCATTTGACATGACATTACAGTATGTGTATGTGTGCATCAGTTTTAGCTCTACTATAGGCTACCATGTGTGTGTGCCTGTGCAAACCCTCCACAGCTTAAAGCTAATTGTTGCCCTTAACAGCTACTCATGTACGACAAACATATGACAACCAAATCTCTTTCTCTCTCTCTCTCCCCCCCTCGCACACCAACTCCCTGGGGACCAGCTATTGTTCCTTTGTGCCGTGGTATGGATGTATTCGACGCACACTTGTCTTCAGTGTGTGTCTTTGAATCTGGACAAACCAGATCCCTGCTAACCTGCTGCTATAGCGGAATGAGTGGTCTCAGAGGAGATGTTGTGGGGAGGAGGCAACACGACAGAATATCCTGTCTGCGCGATGCAGGATCTCCCTCTAATCTAGACACCGGCCTGGACTCCCAGTGGGCTTGAATGTCTTGTCTTGCTATTCTGCCACTCTTTAGAATGGTCGCTTTATTCAACAACGACTGCACAGCTGGAGATGTAAATGAGGCAGTAGCAAATGGGTTACACGCTGTTAAATCGTTGCTAACAGTGGTTTCCTCTCAATATCTGTTGTAAAAATGTGTGCGTACATCACAAGCAGTATTTCCATGTTTGAACCAAGACCTACATTCTGACATTTCAAACTGATTACACGCTGCAACACATTTGTAATTTGAATTACATGGCAAACTGGCATATCAATGCCCTCAAAGCATTGTCTTTGTGCAAGACCGTCTCGACCTGTAATAGGTTGGTACAAACACAAAGACTCACTTGGACGGTGATTGTTTGAGTTGGTATCTGAGTCCGTCATCAGTATGTTATCTTCAACTTAAACAAAGTTCTTGCAAACGATAAAGCCTTAAAGGATAAGTCTGGCAATATTCCATTGTTTTTATTTTAATCAAAAAATCCCATGAAAAGACCCAAACCAATACTGAATACTTAGTTTGTTGAACAAAAACTATTAAAAACACATAATTGAGCCACTGGCTGACATGTTAGTTTATCATGATGAAGATGGGCACTGTAGTTTATGTTGACTCAATACCACAAACACCGTCCTAGTGCTGTAAATACTCACTGGAGCACCAAACCTGCAGCTGCAATTAGTCCTCGACAAATGCACTATTGATTCCTGTTTGAGTAACGTTTGCTAAAAACTACAGTGCCCAGCTGTTTTAGGAAACTATTTAGCCTACGTTTTAAATAAAAGTTTATATTTGCGAGCTGTTTTTAATGGTGCACAACTTCAGAGAGTACTAATGGTCTCGGGGCTGAGCGCCACACACAGGGTAAGTTGGTAGGTATTGAGAGACAGACTTAAACACTGTTTTGTTTTGTTAGGGCTTTGTTGTGTGGTACCAAAAACTACAAATGCCAGACACCTTTATAACTTAAATTACTTTACGTACTTATTTTTTGTATTCATGTAGTAGTTACAACATTTCAAAAATAGGCTTTAACTTTAGTTTTAAGTCATAACAGTATCAGATTTTGACCCGACAAAGTAGCAAACCTGCATGTGTGTGTGTGTGTGTGTGTGTGTGTGTGTGTGTGTGTGTGTGTTGGTCAACCTGCTTTGTGGGATCTCAAGTTTTCTTACCCTGAACAAGGGAACAAAGGGGAATCCTTGCTCTATTGGGGCATGTTGTGGTTCTATTTAAATGTGCGTTTGACTGGAGCACACAAACATCCCCACATTACCGGAAACAACCTGCATGCAAAACAACGTAGTGTGCCCCGCCCGGCTTTAGGTACAACAGGTGCACTAACTGACATGCAAATAAACACCTCTGTTCAAACAAGGTCGTTTGTCTGCACCCGGCCGTTGTCGGTTAAGAGCTGTGCTCATTCAAAACCTGAATGCCCAATTCAAATTTTGTACTGTGTCACAACTTGGAAGCAAAGCACAAACTAGGACAACATGATTTATGTGTGAAAGTTCATTTGGAGATATATATATATAATCTATTTTTTTGTTCCTTTAGTAAAGTGATATTCTTGTCATGTGTGGATATACTTCATACATTTTTGGGGGGACAGTGGTGGAAGAAGTATTCAGATCTTCTTACATAATAGTACAGAGGTATTAGCAATTAAATATACTTAATCTGTAATCTGTTTTTGAAAAGTAACTATAGGAGTAAAAAGAAGTACAGGAGTATTAAGTGGGATAAAATGGAAGTACAGGAATACCTAAAATGTTCCCTAAAGTGCAGTACATCAGTAAATGTACTTAGTTAGTATCCATTACTGTGGTTGGGTGACTCCACTGATTAGTCTTTAGGGTACTTGTGTTGAAGCAACTCTTAAAACCACCGCTTTATGAAGTCTATGTTATTAGCACAGAACGTGTTATTGGTTTTTTTGTAAAATCTTTAAGGTCCATGGCAAGAAAAGCAACACTTTTAGGTGATAAAACAGTACAATTTTTCTACAGCCCATACATTTTCTATTCTGAGGGCAGGTGCTCCAACATTTGATTGAGCTTGGCTGAGTTTAGGGACTGAATGGCCTGAGGATATGTGCTCTGCCACACCGCTCTGCCTGTCCCAGCTTCTCCACCTCTGTCAGGAGACAGTGACTGCCAAATGTCGGCAGCATTTGATTTAGAAGTACCTTTCATTCATTGGATTGTACAGCTTTAGAATACGTTTCTGTTTACTCTGCAGATTAAGATATATATTTCAATGGTAAAATTGAATTTTTTGATGAAACATTATATGACATTTTCAGACAGCAGTCGGTCTCGTTCCCAGATTTTATGAATGTTTAATCACATTTGCTCATAGGTCTTTCATAAGCAGTGTTTCTCAAAGCAGCCGTCTTTCTCTTAAATCAGCTCCATTTAACAGCTTTTTCAACATAATTAATGTGCATAGTTTCCAAAACACATTTTTACATATTAATCAGCAATTTGGCTATGATAAAATATTCATGCAAGCGAAATTTCCAAGAAAACATTCCGAGCAAAAGAATACGGCTTGAATTCAGTTTATTAATGACGACAAGTTGCTTTACTGTGTGGCTCAAAGGCAACGCAACACACCCACATCTCACCCTAACAGTTCAAATACCGCAGCTTGGCCAGTGCTGTGAGCTTCTAACTATGCAGCTCTGCGTAGCCCTCCAGCGTCCGTTTTGGAGGCTTCAGGGACGGCGTGTCAATGCTTGTTACATGTGTCTTTTCAAAATAAAGTTCCCCCAGGAGTGACATATGAGTCACGAGACTATCGACACTAACAACTCAGGTGACAAAATCTTAATGTCAACTTTTAGTAAACGGGTAGCGGTCTCCTGTTTGCTTAACCGATTTCATTCAATTCAATTTATTTTATTTTGTAAAGCCCAAAATCACAAATTTGCCCTGGAGGGCTTCCCAATCTGTACACATAAATCGGATGACCACCCCTCCCATCCGATCTGTGTGGACTTTCTCGCTCTTTATACAACGTTAGTTGCTCTGGGCATGTATTAAGGATGTGGGTGTGTTTAAAACAGACGTGGTTGTCAGACGCACAGGAGCCTTGACCAAGCGGCAGTATTTGACGTAATGGGAGTGAGAACGGCTGTTCAAGGCACTCAATCAGAGGGTTGAACCCTAGGTCGACTAGTTAAAGGACACATCAGTCCACCCTGACTGCTTTATGTGTGTGGGCTCGTCCACCTCCACCCCACTTCTTAATGAGTGAGAGGAGAAATTGCCCTCAGGCTGTGGCCCAGCGCAATCACAGTTTGATTAGTGGGAAGGACCTAACATAGCCCAATATTTACGTCTCTGTGGTTTTAACCCTTTCTTTAAAAGTCACAGGAAAAGGTTACTGTAAATGTCATTATGGGCATTTCACAACCTTCCTGCCTGCCGTGCTCTGAACAACCCGCCGCTAAATGTCATTCTCTTAACATTTGTAAGACTCCAGAGTGTTTTTCCCAGTAAAGGCTCATATTTTACCATTTCATAATGTTACTCTTTGCACCCGGAATTTTCTCTTGCATCTTTTACAATTGCAGGCTGTTGAATAATGCCCTCAGTGAATTATTTTTCACAGGGAGAGTTTGAACTGAGACCCTTGATTTTTGCCTCTCTCTTTCAGTCTCACGCTGCAGAGGATGTTGGTAATCTCTGTCTCCCTGGATAAGAACTTAAGAGTGCAGCAGGAACACAAGCATGTGGTCATTTGACAGTCAGTGTGTGGCCTGCTAAGGCTATTTAAGAGGTGAGAGGTTGGTGAATAAGCATGAAGCTCATCCAGGCCTGCAGCGTGCGTTTGCATATTTATGACCACGGCTTACTGCCAGCTCAATACAGCGAAAATGGTGTGCTAGGGCTGGGCGATAAAAATAACTCAATATCTCAATATTTTTGATGATAGACTGCAGAGCTCTATATTCGGTCAGGCTTTATTGCCCGATCTGGAAGTCTTAAAGAGGGGCTCTGTGTCAAGGTGTAGTTTTAAGCATTTTGCATTTTCATTAAATTATCATAACAGCACACCTAGCTAGGGCTGTCACGTTATCAGATTTTTACTACACGATTAATTGGGGAAAATAATTCCTGATAACGGTAATATCGTAATATGTATAGAGAATATCTAAATAATAATAATGCCACTCAAATCAATCAGTTTTTTGTGCATTTTGTCTCTATTTGGGGAAATTTATTATACTCAAAATACGAGTCGGAAGGTGGAGGGAGTCTGTAATCATAACCGGATACACAAAAAACATTTACATAATGATTTAATAGGAGCTGGATTACTTACTAAATATTATCGTGTATTATAAACATTAAATCAATATTTCATTTTTAAATATTCCAGTTATCTTCAATACCTGTATGCTGCAAGACA